CTTCTAATCTACACTCTCCCGTGGATATACCTCTTGGATTAATACATCGATCACAGTCGGACACCACACCACGAGTGCCCCGATCCTCCATACCGGCCGTCCATCTCCAGATCCTGGCATTCACACGTAAGTGCCACCACCTTCAGTTTTTCATCACTACTTTGTTAACTAGCCAGTGTTCTCTGCGCCCTTTCTTGGTTTTTTGAATATATAGAAAGCCAACTTGGTGTTCATAGCAATGTAAAGCTGCAGAAAACAGAACTATCTGTCTGGGGTTTTATTTATCTATTTCTCTGTCTATAAATATAAATTATATTGTAAGATTCTGCTATCAGATATAAGTACGCCTTACATGTGCTATACACTTAGGGGTGTATTTTTAAAAATTGGCAGAGCCATTTATCTTGCAAAACTAAATGTACATTCATTCTGTGCGACTGCAGGCAAAAATGAATGTTATTAGTATATTTTCTTTCCAGATCGAATGTGATTTCAGGAACATACTGCATTATGGCCACTAGATGGAGCCAAAGAGCATCAGAAATAAATACGTCTTTCCTATTTTCCTCATCGCCACCTAGTGGCCAAAATGCATTTTTTTCCTGATATTACTTCAACCTGGAAAGAAAATATACTAAAAACATTTGTTTCTGCCTCCGTTCGTATAGAACGAATGTACATGCAGTTCTGCAGGACAAATGGCTCTGCGAGTATACCCCTTACTGCTTGGTGATCATTCACTGTCAAGTAATTACAGGTCTTCTACAATGTACCTGTACATTTACCTGTACCTGTAATAGCGGTGTCAGCAGAAAACATTAACAGCTTTTGGATGAGTTCATCAGTCCACAGAATTATGGGGTTATACAGGGTTAAGGGAATTGCTAAAATGCCTTATACTCACACACACTATATAGGTTGAACCTGATAGACCCATGACTTTATTCAACCTCACCTTATATGTAACTATGTAACTATCATTGCTTCTAGAATGTACCTGTAAAATCCAATCTGGCTGCATGTCTTAAATTTGCTTTTGTCCTCAAAAAGTACCCTGGAAATAAAGAAAAAACAAAACTCTCTTTCATACAGTTTCACATACATCTCACTGGTAGCTTCAGTTACAAAATGCTTGCCCTTGCAGGACTATTATTAGGTAATATATAAAGGGGATTTCGCCAGTTCCGCTATGTACAATGGAGTTTGTCTTTTTTCTGTTCCCTGCTTATGGAGGAAAACTAACAGCCTTGTGGCGGCAGTCACCTTAGTGGTACAAAAAGACAATGGAGGGGAAAGGACAATTCTGCCACATGGTTCAATGACTAGTGTCTTAACAAATATAAATACATTTTACATACTTTAAAGAGGAGCTCCAGGAAAACATGTTATTAACCCTTGCAGTGGGGCTGCCCCCGCACTGCAAGGGTTAAGTACTAGTTTTTTTTCTAGGTGCTAAAAAAAAAGAAGTTATACTCACCAAACCATCCAAGCCGGTTCCCTGCTTCTGTGATCACTGAAGCGTGTCTCCTCCTCTGCTGCACAGATAAACTGCTAGTTGGCATCCTCATGTCTATACACAGTCTATGCACAGTGGGAGGAATTTATCAAAACGGGAGCAGACCAAATCCGGAGCAGCTGTGCATGGCAACCAATCAGCTTCTTTCTTTTATTTTCAAGTCTTAAGGTGGCCATACACTTTACAACCATCGCAAGACCTTAGTCTTTGCGATGGTTGTAAAGTACTTAACCCCTTCGTGACTGGGGCATCGGGGCTGTTTAAACAGACTCCCGGCGACTTTTGCCGCCGGGAGTCTGTTTAAACTTGTAGAGCCGACTGTCGGCTTTACAACAGAAGCGATCCTGGCGACTTACCTGTCGCCAGATCGCTTTTGGAAACGGTCGCACGTCTTCGTTCACACTGCTCGATTCTCGTACGATCGCGGGATTTCCCGCGATTCTCGTACGAGAATCGAGCAGTGTATGGGCACCTTTTAAGGTGCCCACACACCTGACGATTATTGTACGATAATCGCGGGTGATCCCACGATCGTACAATAATCGGCAGGTGTACGGGCAGCGTGCAACTGCATTTACTGTACGGCCACACGGCTTTCCTCTAACGAGCATGCTAGAAAACCCGCTGAAAATCGTACCATTTTCGGCGGGTTGGTAGCGAGATCGCAAGACGAAAGCCGCACGGGACGGGGAGGGCATGCGATGATCGCAAGTACGATCTGCCTGTCCAAGATGGGCAGTTCCTAGATAATTTTAATGACCTTACAACCATCGCACAACGAAAGTCATGCGATGGTTGTAAGGTGTATGGGCAGCTTTAACTGAACAAACTGAAGAGAGAAACTGATTGGTTGCCGTGCACAGCTGCTCCAGATTGTGTCTGGTCCAGTTTTGATAAATTCCCTCCAGTGTATA